GACCCCCGTCTCCTAATCAGGACTCCTGTCCCCCCCCACCACCCGGATCCCAGTCAGGAGGGAGGAGCCCAGTCAAGAATCCATGGTTTTGTTGTTGTTTTTGAGACAGGGTTTCTCTGTGGAACAGTCCTGGCTGTCCTGGCACTCCCTCTGTAGACCAAGCTGGCCTCGAACTCACAGAGATCCGCCTGCCTCTGCCGCCCCAGTGCTGGGACTAAAGGCGTGCGCCACCACCGCCCGGTTTCATGTTTTACTCCTGAGGAGCCCGAGTCAGAACCCCGCTCCCACAAGGCGACTTAGCGCAATCCCTCGTGTCCTCTCTGTCCTGTGTCCCAGGGGTCAGGACCCTCCTCTCCTGCGGACGGTGTTCCACAGGGTCCGCGGAGTTAGGGACCCCCCCACGGGTGTCCCGTTAGGTCCCACAGGCAGGCAGGGGTGCACTCGGCTGGGGTCGCAGCCCTCGTGGGCCCGGGCGTCTGTAGCGCCCGCATTCCGTCTCCGGGGCGGCCCCGGCGTCAAGGGGACAACTTCCGCAGACGCGGAACCCGTCCTCGGTAGAGCCGCAGCTACAGCAGGGGTGTGCCTAGCACGCAACACTGCGCAAGCGTGCGCACCCCGAACCCCGCCCCGGGGGTGACATCACGCCGCACCTGTCAGCGTTGACTCAGTATTGGTCCCCCCGTGCGAGTCTTCCCGCCCCTCCTCGCGGCTTCCGTTTCCGGTTCTGCGCCCACCTCCGCTGTAAGGATGATCGGAGACATCCTGCTGTTTGGGTAATGAGAGTGAGGGGTGTCAGAGGCTGGAGAGTGACAGCCAGGCGGGGCGGGTGGCCTCAGTGACCGTAACTATCCCCCCACAGGACGCTGCTGATGAACGCCGGCGCCGTGCTCAACTTCAAACTGTGAGTAGGCCGCGCTGGGCGGCGTTCCCACGTCCGGGCCCCGCCCACGCCCTACGTCACTGCCCTGCCCCAGCGTGGACCACGCCCCCTAGTCCTCCTGACAGTTCTGTACTGCTCCTGGGACTTTAAATGTGTACTCTAGGCCCGGAGATGGCGCAGCGGGTAAAGGCGCTTGCCACCAAGCCTAAGTTCGATTCCCGGAGCCCGCATGGTAGAAACTAAGAGCCGCATGGCATAATCATTCCTGTCACAAATTATTATTAAACAAAAAATCTGCACCCTCTGTTCCTGGGGTGTCCTTCTTGCCTCAGGAGCATCCCTCAAGAATGTTGGGTTTTTTTTGTTTGTTTGTTTGCTTGTTCTGTTTTTGGTATTTGGAGCCACTGTGATTACCCTGTCTGACTGCACACCCAGCTGTGACGCAGTAGGCTGGCAATGCCCCTGAGAGGGGTCTATTACTGCCCCAGGTCACACATCAAGGTGGAGGGAGGCAAGTCATGACCTTCCAAGCTGGGTGTCAGGTCCAGGAGACCCAGTGTGGTTATGTTCCACGGAGAGTGGGTATCATCCGCTATTGTTTATAGGAAAAAGAAAGACACGCAAGGCTTCGGGGAGGAGTCGAGGGAGCCCAGTACAGGTAAGCATGTCTTCCTGCCTTCTACACCTCCATAGTATGATTCCCAACCGCCAACTGCCTGCTCTCTGTCACACACCTGCACTTTTCTGTCTTCTAACTTTTATTGTTGAGATATGGTCTTGGGGAGCCATGAGTAGCCTTCTAAGTGTGGGAATGGCAGGAGTGCCATGCCCTGCTCATCACTTTATTGTGTGCCCAAATTGTTGCCAGCCACAGAGCTGGCAGCTCTGACAGAAGAAAGAGGTCCTACCCTGTGGGACTCACCACAGGGCGATTCAGAGGGTGTCAGGAGGGTGCACAGGATAATGGGGCATCTGTGCTGTCATGATAGAACATTGCCAGAGGCTGGTAGGAGCAAGAGGCAAGAGTCAGGATTGGAAACTGGGTTTTCCCTTTCTGTTTTCTTTTTTTTTGGAGGCAGGATCTCATGGATCCTGGGCTGGTCTCAGTTTTACTTGTAGCCTAGAATAGCCTCAAGCTCCTGGTCCTGCTGCCTCTGTTCTTGAATGCTGGGATTTCAGGTTCCTGTCACCACTCCTGGTTTATCAGGGTTCCATGCATTCTGGGCAAGGACCGTTTATCTACCCTCCCGCCCATCTCTGCCCCCTCCCAATCATCCATCCATCTACTGATCTACCCATTTTCCCACCTGCCAGCAAAAGCTGCATCTCCCCTTTCCTCCATGGATGTGCGCTGTATCAGGCTCTGGGGCTTTGCTTTGCTGGTATGAATTCAAGCTGTAGTGACTGTGAGTTTGGATGCAAGAACTCAGAAATAGCCAGACTGTGGGTGGCAGAATGGAGCAAAGTGCATCTGAGCCCCATCCGGAGTGTCTGCCTTCTCCCAGCGTGCTATCCTCCCAGTGGTCTCCTCCAGCCATTCCCCTCGTGCTCTACCCTGTCTGGCACCCATGCCCTAATGGCAGGCTTTTAATTTTACATATGTGTAAGGCAGTGAGTGCTTGTGTCGTTTCATACAAAGGACATCTGCAGTGACAAGTACTCTTACCCGCAAAGCCATCTGGCAGGCCCCAGTGGTTGCATGTTTGTTTTTGTCTTTCTGTGTGGTGTGGTTCATGTGTAGAGGTCATTAAGACATTGTGTATGGGTCATCCATCTTCCACCAGGGTGCTAGGGCTTGAACTCAGGTTCCAGATTTGGTAGCATGTGCCTTCACCCACTAAGCTGTCTCACCTTGGTGGCTGCATTTTTACGAGCACACAAGCCAGGCCCTGGCCCATCGTTGTAGCCATCCAGTCACACAGGAGGATGTGTGCACCTGCTGACAGTTCAGGGACTAGCCAGAGCACCCTTGCAGAAGGGCAGAGCCCAGTTCATGCTGCAGTCCACCTTTCCAGCTTCTTGGGTCCCCTCTGTGGATGTGCACTGGCAGTCACTTCTCCCGTGGTTATTTCCCCCAATACTGAGCCTTCCCACCAGCCGCCCTGGGGCCTTGGTAGACATATGTCCCGGTTGCCCTGGCGCATGAGCATCTTGACCTACGGAGCCACCTGACAGCCCGCCACAAGGGTTTGGCCTTTGCTCATTGGTGCTTTCCAAACATCTCCTGACATCTCCTGTCCCTGTTGCAGCGGTACAGCGCACAGAGGGTACTATAGACAGATGGTGCTGCTGGCTGCTGAGTGGGTGCCGTGGTAACGCCTACACTTAGTGAAAGGAATAGATGAAGAAGGCCCTGTGTAGGACAGGGGTGGCAGGTGGCTGTGAACGGTTCTAGCCTTGCATTGGTTGCCAGGTATTTACCGATAGCCCCTACCTGCAGGTGCTGTGTGGTGATGTTTCGTTTATGTTCTAACAAATAAAGCTTGCCTGGTGATCAGAGAAGCAAAGTGGCCAGCCACTAGAGAGTTCTCACCTCTACCAATGCCCAGACTGAAGGGGTGATCCATGGAACCCCAGATTGCTTCCACCTGTATTGCTCCTCAGACTGCAACGAGCTCCTGTCTCCTGCCGCCTTATATTCCTCTCTAGTGCTGGGATTAAAGGCTTGGGATCCCAAGTGCTGAGATCACCTTTGTGTGAACTGTTTCTCTTTTAGACTGAATCAATTTCGTGTAGCTCAGAGTGGCCTAACGAGATCTGTCTGCCTCTGTCTCCCGAGTGCTGGGATTAAAGGTGTGTGCCACCACTGCCTGGCCTCTTTGGCTAGCTAGTGTGGATAGTTTGCACTCTGATCTTCAGGCAAGCTTAATTTGTTAGATCATAAACAAAATGTCACTGAACTTGAGGTTCAGTGGATTACCTTTTCTGTCTGAGCATTGGTAAAAGTGAGAACTCTAGTGGCTGGCCACTTTGCTTCTCTGATCTTCAGGCAAGCTTTCTTTGTTAGATCATAAAGAAAACATCACCACAGTGCTGCCCTGGGGTCACCCCCATAGATCACCTAATCACCAGTTATTTTGATTCTGTAGAAACAGAGAGTGTGATTGTCTAATACCTGGAAGAATGTTCTAGAAGTCAGTCCATAGACTTACTTTGTTGTTTTGATTTGTTTTTGAGGCACTATCTTATGCAGCTCAGTTATGCTCAAACTTGGCAATTCTGGTGAGTGCTAGAGTTGTAGACAAGTTCCACCATGCCTGCCTGGATCTAATGTCATTTCTGTGTCTCATAAAATATGCTTATGCTTTTGGTATTTTTTCCCCATTTGAGATGTCAGTGAGTTGGGTGTGGTGGCACACAGCTGTCAGCCCAGAGTTTGGGAGAGAAGATTCAGGAGGATCAGGAGTTCAAGGTCATCCTCAGCTGCATAGTGAGTTAAAGGCTAGCCTGGGCTACATGATATCCTGTCTCCAAAAACAAAGCAAGGCAGAACAAAGCAAAATCAGGACAGGTGATGGACATCTATGGTCTAATCTGGTGGGTGGCTGAGCAGGCAGCTTGGAGGCGGTTTAGGCAGCTCGGAACCAGACTCAGCCCTGTAGTGAGACCCAGGGCTGATGAGCTGTCCCAACCAGCAAAGACAGTTGCCACCAATCCTGACAGTGAGTTCCATCCCTAGGTCCCACGTCGTACAAGAGAATTGGCCCCTGCAGTATATCCTTGGACTCCAACATGTCCTGCTGTGTAAAAAAAAAAAAGAAGTCAACATTTTAGCCAGACAGTGGTTGCTCAAGCCTTTAGTCCCAGTGCTTGGGTGGCAGAGGCAGGTGGGTCTCTGTGATTTCGAGACCAGTCTAGTGTACAGAGCAAGTTCCAGAACAACTCCTATTATACTGAGAAACCCTGTCTTGAAAAACATAAACTTTTAAAAAGTCAGCATTTTAAAAAGCAACAAAACAACCAACTAACCAAACCAGGTAGGTGCTGGGTTCTGGGGCTCATGCTACTCTCTGGGCCCCGTCCCACAGTCCAGATCTGGTAAGTTCTTGGTCTAGCAAACCTGAGCTTGATAACTAGAGCCCATGTCCCAGGACAGACTCTTACTGGACAGTTTTAAGTCATGTGCCCTTTTCAGGCACCAATCAGATTCTTTAGGGATTGGTGGTCCCCAGTGATTGTTCAGGATCTGCCACAGTTTGGGTGGCAGTGGGCAGGGTGACAGCCTTCTGAACCATGCTTTCTGATTTTACAGGAGACAACATCCGGGAGTTCCTACTGAGCCTGAGGTACTTCCGGATCTTCATCGCCCTGTGGAATGTGTTCATGATGCTGTGCATGACTGTGTGAGTCCCGCCCTGCCCCTCCTGACCTTTTTACAGTGTGCTTGAGTGTATGTGGGTCAGAGGACAGCTTGTGGGAGTCGGTTCTCTTTCCCTGATGTCGGTCTGGGGATTCAACTCAGGTTGCCAAGCTTGGCAGCAGGCACCCACTAATGCATCTTGCCAGCCCCTAGTTGACTCTCAAGTTGACTCTGCTTCCAAAGAACTCTGGAGGTGAGGACCCTGGGCCTCTTCCATGCTGGTTGTAACCAAGGTTGGAGTGTGGTCCCAGGTTCCACCTGGCCATGTTTTTCCCACCGCTGCTATTGATGTCAACCTGTAGTGGTCGGTGGCTCCCAAGTTCAGCAGGCTGTCGACACCTTTCCCCGAAGGCCTTGGTAGAAGCCAGCAGGAACAATTCACAATTGGCTTCTGTTTTATGACCACGCTCTTTGATTGGATTCATTTGTTGGTTTTTTGAGACATCATCTTATGGTGTAGCCCTGGCTGTTGTGGAACTTGCTCTGTAGACCAGGCTGACCTTGAACTCAGAGATCCACCTGAGCTTCTGCCTCCCAGGTACTGGAATTAAAGGAGTGCACTACCATACCTGGCAGGATTTTATTTATTTTGGGGGACAGAATCTGACTGTGTAGGCCAGACCGCCCTCAAACTTATAATATCTCTGCCTCAAGACTTGTCGGTCCTGGGACACAGGTATGTGTGACCACTGAGATGACTTTTATAGTGAGGTAGGGATCTGAATTCCTGAATTCCCCTGGCAGGCTGGCCTCAATGTCAAAAGGCTCTTGGTATTAAAGTCATGTTCCTCAATGACCAGCCAACACGTTGTGGGTTTTTTTTGTTTTTTTTGTTTTTTTTTTTTTGTAATACTATTTTATATGTGTGTGTGTGGGTGTGTGTGTGCACATGTTACACATTGCATTTGGGAAGGTCAGAGGACGGCTTGCAGGAGTTGGTTCTCTCCCTCTAACATGTCGATCCTGTGGCTCAAACTCGGGCTATCAGGTTTGGCAGCAAGCACCTTTACCTTCTAAGTCCTTGAAACGAGTCTAGGTGATGATCATGGAATGTAATCCCCAACAGTGTGCTGGAGATAGTGCCTGGACTATAGTGTGTAGTTCTGCTTGGACTCCAGAGTGCTAGGGTTGCCAGCATGCATCACCACACCCAGCGGTGTGCTAGGGTTTTTACAGCAGCCACTTCCCGTCCTCATGATTTCCTCCCTGACTTTTCCAGAGTGTTTGGCTCTTGAGAACCCAGAGCTCGCCTGCTGGATGTCGAGGCTCCGTTTCTGTTTTGATGACTTCAAGAATGTTTCACCGGAAAACCAGGGACTTTCCCAGGGGGCTTGAGCTCATCTGGATGGAGATTGTTCACTTCCCAGCCACCTGACCCTCATCAGCTACTGTTCACCTATGCTCGGGGGTTTCAGGACAAAGTCATGATCCCTTAGGAGGAAGACACACCTAATCTTTCACTTGTCCTGGCATCCCACCTCTCCCAGTGTCACCAGAAGCCTGTCCTGGGCTGTTTGGTTGACTTGTTAGTGATTGCTTTGGTTTGACTTGACGGATTGTTCTTAATCAGTGAGATAAGGCACCAGATGCTGGGCTGGCTGTGACAGTGAGCCCCCTGTGCTGCACAGCAAGGTCCATGCTGGTGGTCCTGACTGTGTGGGGCCAGCGAGGCCTTGCTTCCCAAATGCTTACCCCCACCTCATGACAGGTCTACCAGGGCAGCCCAAGTCACATTAGGACTTGGAACAAGTCCCCCACCCCAAGGACACCAGCCTCCTCTTTGGACCCTAAGCTGTTAGCCACAAAGGGTCTTGGTGACATGTTTGGCTCCTCTGGACGAGGCCTTGAGAAGAGTTGTTGGTGGTAACAAGTCAGCAGACATCTTGCTGTGCTTTCCAGCCGGTTATTAATAAAGTGACTTTGGGGCCACCCCTCTATCACTGCTTGATGACCATGACTTTATTGCTTGTGATGTTGGCACTACATTCTGAAGGCTCACATTTCCTGGTCTCTGAGGAGAGCTCGACGCTGAGATGCATGAGGTCTAGAGGCAGCCATGCCATTTGGTGGCAAGATAAGGGACCACTTTGTCAGCATTTGAAGACAACAGGAGCTGGTTTGCTATGGGGTTTTTCATTTTGGTTTGGTTTGGTTTTTCAAGATAGGGCTTCTTATGTGGCCCTGGCTTTCCTGGAACTCTCTGTAGACCAGGCTGGCCTTGAACTTGCAGAGATCCGCCTGCCTTTGCCTCCCCAGTGCTGGGATTAAAGGCGTGGACCACCACCGCCCTGCTGTTCTAATTCATATGTATGGTATTCTGCCTACATGTGTGTCTCTGTACCATGTGTATGCTGTGCCTTCAGAGGCCAGAAGGCATCCGATCTGCACCTGGAGTTACAGCCGGTTGTGAGCTGCCATGTGGGTGTTGGGCCTTTTGAGCATGACCCTTAACCAATGAGTCCTCTCTCTAGCCCTTTTTTTCTGTTTTTAGACAGGTCTCAGTTACTCCAAGCTGGTTCAAACTCATTGTGTGGCTGAGGATGACCTTGAATTCCTTACCCTCCGAGTGCTGAGATGAGATCCCAATTGTGTACCACCATATCAGGTTTTGTTTTGTTTTGTTTTTGTCTTGAGACCATGTTTTGAGACCATCTTGAGACAGTCTACTAGTTTAGAACCTCTAATCCCCTGCCTTAACCTCTTTAGGGCTAGGATCACAAGTGTGCACCACCAAACCAAACCATAATAGTAGTGTACCCCCAGGATGTTCCTTGGAGCGTGGAAAGAGATGCTAGTAATTGTCACTGAACCAGGTCAAACTGAAGTTCAGGGTTGCACAGCTGCTGCAAGCTTCGGCATTGATTGCATCCTTGAGAAGACCATGTCACTGTTGGCCGATCCCCCAGCCTTGGATAGTCTGGACGCCTTTCTGCCTTCCTCAGTTTAGGACAGTAGTTTCAGGGAAACAAGACACTTTGTTCATTGTGGAGAGGAATTGTGCATTGAAAAAGGAATGCTGTCATAGGGTTTGCGCTCAGTTGTATTTTCTTCCAGAGTACTATTATCTCATTGTTAACTTCTGATAAGTGTTTCTAGACACTGTTCATGTGGAAACTTGAAATACATGAATCTGTCTGGTTTTTTGGTTCTGAGCCAGGGATCTCTCCCATGCCATTGAGCTGTATCCTCAGCCTCTGTTTGGAAAGTTGTTTAGAAACTTATTGTGCTAAAAGTGTAGTTCAGATAGTGACAGCCTAGACTCCTCAGTGAGGGTCTGGGGGTGTGGCTCAGGGGTGGTGCCCCTGCCTAGAATCCTCAGTGAGGGTCTGAGGGTCTGACTTGGGTGGAGCCCCCAGTGAGGGGCTAGAGGTATGGCTCAGGAGTGGAGCCCTTGCCTAGAATTCCCCAGTGAGAGGGGCTGGGGTGTGGCCAAAGGGTGGAGCCCCTGTCCAGACCATTTGAGAATGTCTCAAGTCCAGGAGGTTCTGTGATCCTACTGCACTATTAAGCAACCCCTCATTCTTTCCCCTGTCATAAGCAGACATATAACCTGAAGTGACAGCCCCATTCTGTGATCCTGAAAGTCAAACCTGTTACTGGAACTTAGCACTGTGATACGGAGTTTCTTGAACTGATCCCAGTTAAATTCTTTTTTAGGTTCTGAGCTGTAAGCTATAAAGTGCTGTCTTCTGTCTTGTACACCACCCAGCACAGCCTGAACAAACAGCCTTTTGAGCCCTTCCTCGTAACCCTAACACACAGGACAGATTGTTTGCAAGTGGTATTATCAGTAAACATGCAGTGTGTCTGCTCCTACCCTTATCCAAGTAGCCTCCTGAAAGTCCGCTACCAACAGAGAACTTCGGAATTCCACTCATCACCTAGGACCCAGGGCTGGCCCTGTGACCTGACACTTCAGCTGAAGGTGCCTTAGGTTGCTGAGCAGCTCAGAAGGACTGTGCCCCAGGCTGGCAGCAGCATTCACTCTGAAGGGCCTTCAGGGTTCTATAGGCCTGTCTTGTAGGGTACAATAGTTCCCAAGACAGCCAAGAGCATAGGTAAGAGGCCATGGCGTGCCAGGGTGGGGTCTCATCCAAGGCACAGCCTTTGTGCAGCACCTGTGGCCTCACAATCGAGTTACCTGCAGTTAGAGTCAAGGGACACAGAATTTTCATCTGGACTCTGGTGAGAGCTAAATTTCACTGTCCCAACATAAAAGATATGGTATCACCATGTCTGTCCTGCTTCTGGGAGGGCTCCTGCTGCGTGATCAAGGCCCTGGGGTGACAATAGCACAGTGTGCTGGGAGTACCTCAGTTTTCAAAATGCACCAATTTCTAGCATGGTGCATTTTGTGTTACTTTTGGGGGGTGGGGTGTTTTATTCTTGTTTTAATTTGCTCACAGCATGAACATGACTGTCTGTGACGTTCTGACCAGGCAGAGACTGCTCTGCATCGTCCTGCAGACACTGAACACTTCCTGGTTCTCCCACTACCAAGTTGTGCGCCTTCACCCTTGTCCTGGCTTTGAGAGTGCGGGGTGCTCACAGATACACTGCTGTCACATGCTGTGACTTTTGGTGGTATGCACAGTGAGGGAGAGGTTCTGGGGTGTTTGGTCCTGCCCCAGCATTGAGCCTTCTGTTTGCTTTGCTCTAAGTGTCACTGAATAGTTATACTATGAACTTGTTAGCATGCCAGCAACCCCCTGCCCCTAGCCCCAGTCACTCTGGGCAGAGGCTCCCTGGAGCAGAACTGTTTGCATGTGGTACATGGAGTTTCTTCATGCAGTATTACCTTAGTGTCTTAAAGCTAATTTTTAAAAGATTAATATTTTTATGTGTCTCTGTACCACATCCAAGCAGTGCCCACAGTGGCCAGAAGAGGGCGCTGGATCTCCTGGGACTGAAGTTACAGATGCTGTAAGCCACCATGTGGGTGCTGGGAATGGAAGCTGGGTCCTCTGCTAGAGCAGCCAGTGCTGAGGAGGTGTGCCCCCTACTCGCTGGGCTGCAAGCTCTGCTCAAGCAAGTTTCAGATTTGCTAAGAGTCTCACTGACCAGGGTCAGTAATGTGGGGAACAGACTGAAGGCCTTCATTTTCTGGTACCTAGGGTGAGAGGTCTGATAACACCCAGGCTCTCCTCTGGAATGGCTAGACCTGAGCAAGGGCCAAGCTGTGACAGCCATGCATTTTCCTTCCATCCAACCATTTCATTATCTTCTTAATCAAATCTGTGTCAAGTATTAGGCGCCTTACATTGTCCTATTTGATGAGAGATGTGTGGAGTGTCTGAAAGGAGCCATGCTTTAAAAAAAAAAAAAAAGAAAGACAAAGACGGGCTGTGGTGACACAGAGGCAAGCAAAGCTCTGTGAGTTCAAGGCCAGCCTGGTCTACTGAATGAGTTCCAGGACAGTTTACAAAGCCACAGAGAAAGAAACCCTGTCTCGAAAAACAACACAAAAAATTGCAGCAGGACAGCAGTGGTGGCGCACACCTTTAATCCCAGGCAGAGGCAGGCGCATCTCTGTGAGTTAGAGGACAGTCTAGTCTACAGAGTGAGTTCCAGGACAGGCTCCAAAGCTACACAGAGAAACCCTGTCTCAAAAAAAAAAAAAATTGCAAAACAAAGAAAAAAAAAAAAAAAAAGACCAAGTCAGGCAGAGAGGTGCAAGTACACGGAACACAGAGGAGAGGGGACCTGTTGAGATCCAGGCTAGTCAGGGTGACAGTGACCCTGTTTCAAAACCAAACCCACATATATAAACTGGATACAAAGGTGACAGGGGCAGGTTTTCACACCCAGGGTTTTTCATTATGATGAACTAGCACTAACTGATGTACTCCCCAACTGAGGTGCTCCCCAGCACCAACATCCTCCTGGGGAGGCCGAGGCTGCTGGCCACTGTGCTGAACAGCAACATGTCCTGGCTCCTCTTCAGGGTTCCTGTTGTCTGTCTGGCCATAGTGTTAGATAAATCTGTAGCCTTAAGAACAGCCTGTCTCTGTACCCCAGCATATGTGAGACTTTCGGTAGGTTGCTTCTTTGGAGCAAAGGACTATTTAAGACTGCCTGAAACTGGGTGACATTAAATAATGACATTTCTTATGGTTTTGGAAGCTGTTGCAAGGGGTAGATGTCGGCTTCCCCTTCCTCCCTTGACATGGATCTTTGAGACAGCACACTCAAGCCCTGAGGGGTAAAGGAGCTGCAAAAAGCCAGCTTTGAAAGCTGTTAGTATAGCAGGGTCCTCAAAAAGAAACAACCCTGGTGACACACACTTTTAATCCCAGCACTCGGGAGGCAGAGGCAGGAGGATCTCTCTGAGTTTGAGACCAGCCTGGTCTACAGAGCAAGTTCCAGGACAGCCTCCAAAACAATACAGAGAAACCCTGTCTCAAAAAGGAGGGGGAAGAAACAACCCTAGCTGAGGAAAAGAATTTGCGAAGGTCGGGTAGCAATAGGAACAGGAAGAGTTTCCCACCTCTGCTGACAGACCTGGGCACCTGGTTTTGAACTTCAGATGACTTTGGGCAGACCCAGGGATCGACTCCTCTTCACTAAGGTTGGTAGCTTTTCCCTGGTGGCTCCTGCTTTTCACTTTGCATACCCACACTCTATGACCAGGCTCAGCTGGCACCCAGAGGACTATGAATTCCAGCACCACAGGGTTGCTGCAGAAGCAGGGTGGGCAAGGACGACTTCAGGGTCTGGACCCACATACTCGGCCCACAAGACTTCTTGCCTGCAGCTCACTGGGGACAGGCTTGGAGGCTTCTGCCCCTGGCAGAGAGCTCATGGGATCCAACTTCCAGTGCTAGAAGCGAAGCTGCAGGTCTGGGGACTTGTGCCCGCCTCACCTGCCATGTCTCCACTTGAGCTGAGCTGCAGATGGGCACACACTCTCACAGGTACTCCCAAACCCTGTCCCTGCTACTTCCA